TAAGATGTCAAGGATGATATGTAGTGATACATTGAGATATCACAGTTGTGAAATGGCCAGTATTAAAAAATGTAAACTGATCAAGTTATAACTCAGGACAATAATCAATAACACTGTTTATGAACTTATTGAGATATATAATAATGTGTTTAGATCTGATTTAGATATAATTGATCGGTATAATAGACCTGTTTGTGAGTAAAATCAATGATTATAATACTAATAATGTTGATTAAAAAAACAGGATACGAAAAAGACGTCAGTAAACAATAGAAAACATTTTTGGCCGAAAGGCAGAAATTAACAAAACGAATTGCTTGTCCGACGATCAATTATCTTGGAAAACAAGTATAGTTTGCATGAGAGTTGCCACTTCATGTATTTTTAATAAGTATCATGAGACTAAAGAACACATATGAGTTACGTATTTCAGTTTCAATGAGGTAGTGCTAACAAGCTTTTTTTTTCTTAGGATTGTAAGAAGATAATAAGTTTTATTTTTAAATCGGACTAATTACATCGATTAATTAAAAAGTGCATGCTCTCTTTTGATTCTCTAGTTTAATAATTATCAGAAGTTTTTCGTAATGAATGAATATTCTGAAGTAGATAGCATAGAGAAAAACAGTTGAATAAAAAAAATATATAATCTATTGTATCAACATCCCATTAATTCAAAGCATTAAAAAAAATCTAATTGATGACATGCATCAATATGAATGTTATCTTTTTTTTTACATTGCGAAAATACAATATATTGCTCACTAAAAGTTGCAATTCATAAACAATCCAACAAAAGTCGATCTACCAAAACATAATCACACTCCATGACCATGTCCATGGGTGTTCCCATAGTTATCGCGTAGCTCCCTAGTCATACTGTATAATATTTCCCAAATAGTAATTAAATTATCTATTTGTAATAATATATATTTATTCAAACGAACATACAATCAAACAAAATACAGAAAATTTTCTTTTACAATAAGCGCACACACTACTAGTTTATAATGCTTTTTTCATTCATGCTGGACGAGGTCTCCATATACAAGTCACTAGTTTTTTACTCATAAGAAAGAATTTTTCACGAAAAAGTGGTGATCCGAAACAATATAAATAAAACCCAATACCAAAATAAATACTTGACCAAATTAAAAGTATTGCACGAACCAATAAATGAGTATTTAAATCAATTATGTCATAATTCGCTCGTATGAGTGTATAAACATTAAATGGAATTTGTGTTATAATAAATGTACCAACACTAGTCAACATCATATAGAATAACATTCGATCAATTGGTGTCATACGTCCATTTATTATACTCATACTTATTGTAGTAACATTTGTATCTATTTGATTTCTTGGATCAACACGTTGTCGAGATTGTTTTATATTAAGTAACATACGAATATTTGCTAAACTCATTATAACAACTGGAATAATACAAACAATAATTAATCGTATTGGCAGATAAATATTACTAATAAAATAATAATATATTGGTGATTGACTAGTAGAACATGTATTCGTAATAGGATTCATTGTAACCATTGGACAAAAAAAAAATGAATAGAGAATAGAAAAAATGATTAAATAAATTAAAGTTAATTTAATGACATTTCGACGCGTACAAATTATTCTTGAACGCATCGGGAATTCCGAACGAATCAATCGATCTAATGTAATAGCAACAGCTAAATAAGTACTCACTGTTCGACTAACATTTTGTACAAAATAATTAAGTCGGCATTGTAAAAATACATTTGAATAAGCATAACTATTAAACATAGCAAGAAATTCTGTTGTTAATGTGCATAAATGAATAGTATTTGAAAAGGTCATAAGAATAAATAATGCACCAGTTGAAACATTTCGAAATTCTTCTTGTGAAAAGAAGATAATTAATGATAATAAATTACCAATAAAACCCAAACCATAACTAAAAACAATAATTAAATACAAAAAAACAAAATCAAAATTAATTTACGTAATGCATGCCGCTATTATTTCAAGTAAAACTAGGATTGACATCGATAAATCCATTGTTACACAAAGAAGTATGCAATGCTGAGTTATTTAAATTGTTTTCTATATCAACTAGTATGTTGTGTTAAACTTTCTTATTGTCTTGACTTACTATATCCTTAATAAAGCAATCTATCATTAGTAATTATGACAAAGAATGTCATCGTAATGATCAAATAAAGTCTTAATTACTTATTTCTCTACAAATAAAACAGAATACAGCTTCTTGAGAAACATCATGCTATCCAATTAACCTTAATTACACAGAAAACTACTTACATACTATCATATGTAATAAAAATCACAATATATGTTCTTTTAGATAAAGAGAAAAAAAATCTTCATATCTTGAGATCTCTTAAATGTTCTATTTCTTTGTTTTATTTAAATAAAATGCGGACAAAATAGTGTTTATCACGTACGTTCAATTAAATGAAGAATAGCACAAAGATAGATGTAATCTCGAAAGATAGTTTATGAATTTATAATATATAAAAAATAGCATTATTAAAAGTTCTTATCTCATATTTTAAGAAATTTCAATGATAAATAAGTGACTTCAAAAAGTAATTCTTTTATTTTTCTATTTAAACATCTATTTTAAATATACAAAAAATTCTTTGAATCAGTCACACTGAATTCAAAAATATGATTAATTATAATCTTTCAGATCATAAAATATTGTATGATAAAGTTTAAGTAGCATCTCTAGATTTATCTAAATTCAGATAACATTTTAATCTTCTTTCAATGTGCTTCGTTTCTTCTTTAGTGTAGGAAGAAATTTTAATAAAATGTAATGGTAAAATACAAACTTGACCAAATCAAAAGTATAATAGAAACGAATACGTTTACTGTTCTTTGATAGAATTTGCTTATTATATAAATATAAAATGAGATTTGTGCTTTAATAAATGTATTTATATTTATCAACATTATATAGAAAAACTTTCGATTAAATCGTATTATACATCGAACAATATGTTCATTAATAACAACAAAATATAATTGACATAACAATTGGATTCATTTGTATTTGATTTTTCAATATGCCAATGACTACGATTTCTTAGAATATAACAACAAATGGAATGACACAAATTATAATAGCTTAAATAATATTGGATTTTGATTTAAGAAAAAATTACAGAATCTCTGATTGATTATAAATACCTTTGATAATTATTTGATATTGAATCATTAGTCTTCTAAATCAAAATAATCAAAATGAAGTCCATCAGGACGATTTCGAACGTCAAACGGTACTCGAAACTCTAATTTCAAATCATACATTCAGGATTATACGTGACTTAGCATCATGCACAAATATTTCATCACGATCAATAGTCTGTTATTATGATTATAGAACTATTTTGATATTATAACTTGACATTAGATGAAGTTTTCATTGGCATTTTTAATCCAACATAAAAATATATTCTATTGCGTTTTTACAATGTTGACTAAATATGATAGCAAATGCACTTGTCTTGTTAACATCAAAAAATAATCTTCTCCGTTTATGGATAAGAATGGTGAAAAAAAAATATTTTGTCAATATATGTATACTTCATACTGTTGTATAATTTAGTGAATTTGGAACGTGATCTATCTTAGATACTTATTATAGGTAGCTAATGAATTTGTTTCATATTGAAGCGAGCTGAAAAGTCAATATAATGATTACAAACAATCTTTTCTACGTCTATGTAAGTACGGAAGTGATAAAGTCACAGAGAATTAGAATATATTTGAGTAGAAAAGTTATAGAGTAAACTATTCTTTCAGATTTCTATTTATAAAATTGCCTTCTCTCATATAATCTCATCTTAATAGCAGTTAAATATGAATCATAGAATGAAGAAAAGAAAAAATTCCTTCTATTTCAGATGAATAAACAGTTCAGCAGATTCAATAGATGAGAAACTACTTCATTTATATAAATTCAAAGAAATCTTGTATTGATACGTTTGTATAAAAAAAACAAGTGTATTGATGATATTATACCAACATCGAAGAAACATTTACTTTTCTGAATGCATAAGTTCGATACATATTTATCAATATTCGAAAGGAATTCGATAGTTTAACAAAACTGTAATTTAAATAAAGATCAACATTTGTATTTCGATTTCTTTTAAATATTTTCAAATATAGAGAGTTCTATATTATAACATATTGAACATTCTTCTCCATACTTCAATCAATGATATATGTATAGTGAATTAGTTTGTAATAGAAGTAGTGCATATTATTAGTTTACTCTATGGTGTTATTAATTTCTAGGAAACAGAAGTTACCGTTACTAGATATCGGAAAATTTGTACATTTGATTCTGTCATCAGGGATAGGTATTTGTAGAAAATCACGATTTTTTATCAAGTTTTTATTTCGAATATCCAGTTTTGATTTATACATGAAACTTTAGAAAAATCTATAAATATCTCATATTCATATTACAAACAAATTTTTCTGTATCTCTCTTTAGCAGTCTGAAAGCCTAAAATTTTTTCTTCATTTATAAAAGAGTTAATTATATCAGTTTATTAGGAATGCTGTGCTGATATTGATATGTAAAAATTTTTAATAAAGCCATTGATTATTGTTAAAATATTGTCTAGAAAACCCAAAGCACACCTGCAACTGTATGGCAGTAATTGTAGAAAACAAAATTGTAGGTCACCGAATCTGGGAAAATCCTTCTATAATCGATTTCTCAGTCAATTTTATTCGATTCTGAAAGCCTTTGATAAAATTTTATAAACGATTATGGTAACACACCGGTAAGTCTCATTCGCTATTCATTTCTCACTTTTATAAAAACCAATGAAAATCAAAAAAACTATTTTATAAAATTGAAGAACTACGATCTAAATTTATTGCATTCAATCAAATAAAATAAGTGACAAGAAATAGATGTTACGACTAAAAACTATAATCAAAAAAAGACAATCTTTATTGTTTGTAATTTGTTATGTTGCCAAATATCCACCATCTAAATTCATCAACAAAAAAGAATAAGAATTAAAAATAAAAAAGTATTTATTAAAATGCAATGGAAATTTTATTTATTTTAAAATAACTCAATTCTAGGTATTTTAAGTTGATTTTTGTTTACATTACCTATAGGTAAACAAGTGCCATTAATCATTTGAGATTTATTCGAAAGTAAAAATATAATTGGCTCAACAACATCTTCCACTTCTATTCAAATAAACTTAAACAAATTGTTTAGTGAATGTTAATTTTTACAAACCAGCAAATCTATTTAGTGGAATTCTCGATAACATTCCTGCTGCCTTCTTTTCCTCAGACCAAGCTGTATAAATAAAGTAATTATTTGAAAACAAATATTAAGCATTTCCAAAAAAAAAAAAATACAAACCCATTCGACCCATATCTGTTAAAACAACCTGTACATTATAAATAAAAACATAGAAAAATTTTTCACAATATTGAATACTTACTGTTGGTTGTACACTATTAACTCGAATCTAAAATAAACAAGTCAATGTTGATTTATAGTAATCGAAGAAAATGTAATTTTTACTTGATGAGGACCTAATTCCAATGCCATAACACGTGTTAAACTATCAACTGCAGCTTTTGATGAACAATAAATACTATGATCTTTCAATGCTGCTGCTGCTGCTAGACTTGATACATTAACAATTGAGCCTGGTAATTTACGTTCAATTAAATCACGTGCAATTTCCTATCAAAGTATTATATTTCAATGAATCTTTTATGAACAAGTAATGTTTATTAATGCGACTCGCGTGACCGTTGACTGAATGCTCAAAGCTTTCTATATAATATACTACTAAAAAATCACAATCCACAATCATGTCAAATGTATGCATAAGGGTCTGTGTGAATGCAAATATCGATGTCTATATGGTAAAACAAGAATTCATCAGCACGAATCGTTATCTTAAAGTTACGCGAATGCATGGCAACACGTGGCAATACACACGTGCAAGTAAACATACATATATCAACTTATTTTATTTCGTGTAACTCTTCTTTCAGTCGAGAAAATAATTGAAACAAATAAATTTAGCGAATATCTACCGTAAACACGAAATACCTGACTAATACAAATAATTGAACGAACATTGACATTAAATACTCTTTGAAATATAGATGCAAAAAAAAAATATTTTGTTTATAATTTTTGTTTTTGTCTACATACGTATTGAAATCGTCTGGTTTGATTTCTAGAAATGAATCAAGAATAGAGATGGCAGCATTATTTACTAATAATTGAATTGGAAGATGTGATTTAATAGCTTCTTTTGTTGCTTTCCAATCACTTAAATCAACACATACTGGAATAATATTGTTATTCTAATTAAAATAAAAAGAAAATGATATTTACAAAAATAAGAAATTAAAATTTCAATATCATTACTTGTGCAGCAAGTTCTTTCAAATGTTTATCAGTTTTACTAATAGCAATTACTTTAGCACCAAGTTGAGCAAGTCGTAAGGCCAATGAGTTACCAATACCTTAATAATCATTTTCTTGCAATACATTAAAATAGATCAGTTTTTAAATAACAGACCTCGTCCAGCGCCTGTTACACATACAGTTTTATTTCGAAAATCATTTTCAGACATCTAGAAAAATTACCAAAAGAACACAAAATAAAGAAATGCAATAACTTTCATAAAAAAAAATAATTGAAACATAAATTTTTCATTAAGAAATTTAAGTACGGAAAAAAAAAGAAACTTCTCGTAGCAATTATCGACATATTGCATTATGAAGTGGAATTGCTAATAAACCGGCAAATGTAATTCCAAATGAATCACCAATAGATGCAACACCCATGGAAAATTCACGATCAGGTTCACGTATCTAAAAAAATATCACAACAATAATTCGCCTATTATTGCACCTTTTTCACAGTTAAATCATACTTCAGTTGATATCTTGTAAAATGTATTGACGTAAGCTCCACCACCAATTAAACCTTCAAATATGACTAAACCGAAAACTAACCATATACTTGGTATATGAGCCGTACGGTAGACACAAGCAAAAAATATGCCCATATTAGTAAGCTAAGAAAATCAATATATATAGTTCAGAAAAAAAATGTGTTAATAAACTAACTTGAATAATGGGTAAAATCCACAGACGATGAATTTTAAATAGTGCTACTGATGAACGTGACAAGAAAACACCCACTTGATAGAAAACCGAATACCTGAAAATAGAGATTTCGTATGATACAAAAGCAGCACATTCATAATTAGTATAGTTTTTAATTAATGTAGAAACACAAATATTAATAGACTATTTCGTTTAATTTTGATGTTTTATTTATTTTATTTTACAATTCTATTAACTACTCATATGATTCAAACAGCACAAAAACCATCGATAGACCGTTCGATATAATGTGCACTATATGGATTTGGTTCTAAAGTAAATCTCTAAACCCTTAGTCTCACATCTATTTTACATATGTTGTACTCCTTTTGCTCACTGAAAATCTAATTATAAAAATGTACCAAATGAAATTTCACGCCTTGTGTTTGAAATGGTTCAACTTTAAGTATACACGGACAAATCAAATAATAGTATTTCGGCCATAAAAAAGTCGAATGACCAGTAGAATGTGCTGAAAATTTCAGACAAATAAAAATACTCTTTTGTCGAAGTATTGAATTTTCAAGTAAACTTAAGTTTTACAGCATATCTATAGCAAACAGCCATTTTCTGAAAATTGAGTATCTCGACCAAAGAACATTATTTTTGATTAAAGCTTTCAGTATATTCTACGAGTCATTGAATTTATGGATGAACATAATTTCAGTAAAATGGCCATAGCTTGACTTAAACAGTAAGTATCAGTTAAGATAGTTCTCTCATTAGAACAATACATTTTGAATGTGTTAAACTTGTATGCCTATTATTATTACTTACCAACGATATTGTGCAGGATGTTGAATACTTGTATTACGAAAGAAGATGAGTTCATACTAAATGAAGAAACATACAAGCATAATACTTTAAAAATCATTTTATAAATAAATCAAATTTCTAAATTTCTATCTATAGTTCGTATTAAACAATGTGTTAATCTCAAAAACAAAAAGACTCATATTTACCAGTCCTTGATTGATTAAATATTCTGCAAAATAAACAATTGTCAATGGAATCATATACTTGAGCAATGGCTATAATAAATCAATCAATAATAAAATAAAGACAAACAGAATAACATTATTATCAATCGTATACTTTAACTAGTTTAAGTCGTTCTCTGAATGTTTTCGATGTTGCCTTTTCATTTATTATCTTTTCACTAGCTTCATTGTCTACAGATAAAATATACATAGAAACTGCCTAATAAATCTATTATTCTTTCTACCTGTATCAGCATCTGTAGTAATATGTTCACTTATTTGTTGATATTGACGATGTTTTGCAGCAACTTGACTAGCTCCGACCATTATATAACTTTATATATACATATATAAATCAAATAACTTTAATTTCAAGAAATACATGTTTTTCCTTATATTCTTTTGTTTACCTGATAACTTGAAGCACAGGTATGAAAAGTAAAATAAGAATAGCAGTTCTGGGATTTAGTTTAAGTAGACTTGTTAGTCCTGCGTATGAAAGAGCACCAAGTAAACCGGCAGCACCTGTACCACTTGACCATGCACTGACTGTATATTTTGCATAGAAAGATGTTAATTGTAACATTGTAATTTCACCAAAACCTGCACTAATACTTGCACATACAACACCTTTGATTTAGAATTTTACTTTATATTTCATAAACTAATATCAATTCACTTACCAAATAAACTCAAAGCAACTATTTTTGAAGTACCAACAATGATCAAAGCACTAGCAGCAAATAATACAATCAAAACAAAACGAATACTTGAATGAAAAAAAGAAATCAATGCATTAGTTAGACAAAAACAAAATAATGATTAGCTTTTACTTATATATGATTCTATGCATAAAAAATGGAGCTGTTACTTTAATAATTAGTGCTGGCAATATATCCGCTAGTAGAATAGCCTAAAAAATGATTGTCATAATTAAAATCAATATATCAGTAAAATTTAAAACATTGTTATCTTCAAAATTTATATCAATATTAAATAACTCTCATGTCGAATTCAGTATTTTTATGTACTATGTGGAAGGAAGAACACTTCTGCGTTTCAGATTAGCTGTAGTTCGAGATAGAAGATTGGCTTGATGCAGAACTTATTATATAATTAACTAACCTCAATCACAGATATATGTCACAACATAATCAACATGCTATTGGACAACTGATCCGAGACAAATAGCAATTAGTGGCTTGTCCATAGTTATTCCATGACTGGTGGTACTAAGATTTGCATTAAGCCTTGGAATCGAACCACTTTCTGATAGCCCGGTTCAACTTAGAATTGCACTATTAAAAGTTTTTTTTTTAGAAAAAGTATTTCGAAAAGATGGAATGTCATAATCGATACAAACATTATTAAAAGTTTATCATCATAATGATCATCAGTTGAACAAGGTTGGACAATTTTAAAGTTCGAAAAAACAACAACATGAAAGATAAATCGAATTATTTATTAAACCAAAAGAACAAGATACGTTTGCAAGTACTCCAGTCGCTTGAAGACTATCATTTATTAACATAAGCTTTCACTAGTAAAATATTCGTTGATCGATTTCAAAACGTCAGATCGGTTACTATTTTCAATGGCATCTATGCGATTGAATGCAGTTGATAGTGCACTCGACCTTATGCGTCGATAAGAAATGTTATTTAACTGAATAAATGCTCTGCAGTTATTTATAATGTAACCTATCTTCAAAGTTGAAAAAACCGATTTTTTTCTTTTCTGATGTTGAAAATCTTCCTTGGGAAAAAAAGCAACAAAATTTGGACCGCGGGAGCTGGGAAGAAAAAAACTTTCGTGTTCTCTTGCATTTTACATCTCTCATATTGTAGTAGTCTCTTTTATTTCAGTATCTTATCGTTGCCATTACATAACATTTTTTATTTGATCTCATCTACTCACTCCTGTTGAGATGGGATTACAATTAAATTGATTTGTTGTATTATGTGACACTGGTTGAGTCGAATTATCATTCTCTTCTTGTTTCAAAATATCATGAGCAGCACTTAACATTACGACATAACCAAAATTATTGCAAAGACCAAGAAGCCTAAAATATGTTAGATTCATATGCTGCAGTCATATATTAGACAAAACAAAAAGAATATACCAAAAACCAATAAATTCAAGCCACCATTTACCACGTTCTGATCGCTTACGATCATCTGCTGCTTTTGGAACAGAAATCATCATCGAAAAGAAAATAATAACAACAAAAAAGATATTAAATGTTTTTGTCTATTTTATAATAATTAATTGATGTGAACACATGGAATTTTATTTTTTTGTAAAAGACAAAAAAAAAACGAAACAAAGCGAATCAAATAGTCATAATACGAGCAAATGAAAGTTTGTGTCAAGCCAATTTTATTTCATTTAAGCAATGACCATTTGATTTGCTCTTTAGCATGATTGAGTACCTAATAGAACAAATATTGAGAAGACATAAAATCTTAAATCATGCAATCACTGCAAAAAAATAACATCCATCATCATGCTAGGCTATTTGTTTTTTTTTTTATTTCAATCAATTACACAATTATTCGTACATCAAACGTCGGATGAAATATAGATAAAGTTGTTAAAGTCTAAATAATTGTAGAAGCAAGAAAAAAGAAACTGAGCAGAATCAAGAGCTCGCACATACACACACATATATCATTTCTATATTTTCTATCAATCAGCATTGAGTAACATATTGAGTCCCTGATAGAAAATCTGATGGACAAAAAAAGGGTAAATATCTCTTATTTTATTCTATTTGACACTAAGGTTTTTTTAATATTCAAGTACTCACTTGTGAAACAGTTTGGTCGCCTAATGGAATATCATCTTGACGTAGTTGAACACGTTGAGTAATTAACATTGGATCTGATTCGAGAATAATTCTTTAAAAAAAAGCACATCAAAATCTATTATTTATTTCAAGGATAAAACGCTCTATTGAATATTTTACCCATCATCACAAATTTCATCAAGCGTAAGCATAACTAAATCAAGATTTTCATAAAGAAATTTTTTTTCAACATTTTTTCTTAACATTGTATTTAATGATTCAAATAAACATGTTAAAATAGCATTTAACATTAACTAAATATTTTCAATATTTATAAAAAGATTTTATATTAAATTGAAAAATTTCATACTTCATTTTCATTTGTACTACCGACAACATAAAAAAGTAAATCAACATTATTTCGATAGACAATGGTTAAATTATCAAGAAGAATGACATCTCCTGAACCTTTATGAGTTTTATTAAATAATGATTTTTCAAATTCTTTTTGTTCTTTTACTGTAGAAAATAATTGATTATAATACTAAATTGAAATAAAAAACATAATGAATATATATATAAATATGATTTAAACTTTATTTACTTTAGCTAACATACGGTTACCATCATTGTCTAAAATAATAATCCCTTTAATAACATATAATGACGGTACCTGTAAAATAGTTGAAATTATAAGTTTGAATAATTAAAAGTAATAAAAACAAAGATAACTTACAGAAATATTCTCTAATACCATAGTATTAATTTATAAACTAAAATTAGAATAATAAAATATGTACTTGTTAGTGTACTGTCTTTATCTGAAGAAAACGAGAGAGAAAGACAACATGGCATGACTCAGGGTCCAGAATTGTTTGCTTATTTTGTTTCAACCATCTATAAAACACATCTAAAAGTAGTTTGGATGCGAGCGACAACTATTGATATTCTTTCTAAGAGAGTTTATTTCTATCGATAAATTAAATTTCTTCTCTTTTGATGATTGTTTTATTCTTATTCAACATCTGCTTATATATAAATTCCATCTTTCTAATTTAATATTGATAAGCTATATTCGTGCTCGATGCTGTAATTGAAAAAAATTTTCTTACACTTACGTTAGTCTAAAATAGTGTCAAAACGCAATCTAGCTTACTTTTATTATGCATTAGACTCAGACATTATTTTCAGTTGTTTCTCGATTTATGCTACGGTTAGGTACCGTAAAACTGTTCATTGCTACGATCAACTATCGTTGTGATGTGTCAATGAAATGTGTGGTAGTTAGTGGTCTGTCATCATTTTTGGATTCTTGTGATGAGCTGTTTTTTTGTTATTATCTTTAGAAAGAATTTTTATTCATCAATTGGTCGAACTACATTTAAGAACAATACTCACACAGTTTCGATGAACTGAATGCAACTTTGATGAACTTCATTCGGATATGGCGGTTAAAGTCAAAATACGCGTGCATTTGTATAGTTTGTGAGATTATTGTTGTTACTACTATATTTTCAAACTATATTACTTCTTCAAAACTTCATCGATACTGCAAACGTTAAAAGATCATAGATCGACATCTGTAGCATATATTATTACGATTTCAGGTTATGATCAATGAGTAACAAGTGTTGCAGATACTTTTAAGAAATTAGCTCCTCTAGATCTTCGACGTTTTGATAGCATTAGATTGCATTGTCTTGAAGCCGACGTTCTATTGTTAGGACCCATTATATGTCATAAAAATCATACAGAATGGCTCAGCGGAGCGTGTTTCATTACTAGCAGTGATATCTTTGGTGCTTTTGGTTTCCCGCTTAAAAGAGTATACTACCGTCCTATCTTTGAATGGTTACAAGCCAATACACCGAAATCGTATGATCATGTTGATTGTCACTTACTACGAAAGAAACTCTCTGTTTGAGTAGCATTGTCTCCTTTTCTAGTGATTTCAGATATTTCGCATCCATCCTTACTCAATAATAACTGAAGTGTCTCTTTCGCACTTGAAAGATTATCTAATGTGTTAAATACTGATTCAGACCATGAAGACTAATGTATCGAAGACTAGATCTTTCAAGAAGAAGATGAATACACAGACATATGCTAATTGAAACAAAGAAACGAGAGTCAGCTCTACTGTTGAGAAAGAATTCAAGTACAACATGCTATGGTCGAACTAATTAAATTATCAAATAAAGTCTTTTGTTTCCTTCCAATTACACTTATAATTCTGATTTATTCGATATCATACTACGAAACGCATACTGATGCCCAGGGTGTGGGTCAGTCTAAGATGAATGTGTGGAAGGCATGGTTGAATTTGAAAATGGAAAATGATCAGCTCAGTTCAGTCCAACAGGAAATTGCTTATCAGCTGCTAGACACAACTCATCTCTGTCGATTGGCATGAATCTTTTGAGTTTTTGTATGTCTTTCTTCTCTTAAATAAAACATAAGAGTGTCTTTTTCATCAATGAAATGATTTTAATGATGTTGAAGACTATTTCTGTGAGAAAAAATGTAATAGACTATTCTATATATTTAGGCAAAATTCATAATAACTCACTTATTACATTTAATCAATCCACTTTCATATCAAATTATATTATCAAAACAATTGAATAATAATTTATCATTGAAGTTTATGATGTATTGACTTATATATTCCCTGATGCTTATAGGATATATTTTTCACAGACATAAGAAATAGCAAAGCAAATAAAATCTAAGAAGTAATTAAAATATACCATTATGCGTGTTTCTTTTGTAATTAAAATTTATTGCCACCTATATATCTAAGAAAGCCAATTTGAATTATGCATATTTCGACATAAAAACAAAAAAAAAATATTCATTTATGCAGTCATTCGAATATGAATCTATTATTTGTTCAAAGTAATTCTTATGAAGTTTATTATTTAGACTGTGCGCAGTTTATCAATAATTTTTCATATGAATAAAATTGATAGGGTGTTTCTATTGAATGAAAACTTGATATCATAATGTTGATCAAAGATAGAACATCGAACACGATACGACTCATTGTTTTCATAGCATTTTTAAATAAAATCATTGAAATCACACCTGATTTCAATCGGTTTTGTTAATTTTATTGATGCTCTATTCGTTGTTCTGTGATTCCCAAATATCATGAAGACCAATATAAACTTGGAAACTGTATCACTATCACCTGTATCAATTATTTATTTGATTAATCTCAACTATATCATGATATTCAACTACATCTTCCTTTCATTGGCATTTCGAGACTGTACAATTCTCAAAAACTCATCTATTTCTTATTTTTGTAAAGATACTTTCATCATTACGATTTAGTTGTTCGTGAAATTTACAAAAATTTCAAGCTTTTATTTTGTTATTATTGTATCGATGTAACTACGAATAGCTTGTGTTCAGATCAAATCAACTAAAGAACTGTTGAAAATTTTTTCTGTTACAAGATGATGTGTGTGAACAGTCTTTTAAGCAGAATTAAGCTTTCCGCGAAAGATTTTGTTCTCATATTGGAAACAGAATTCTCCGGATAGTTTCATTGAAACAAAATTGTCACTAAATATTAGTTTTTCTCAAAAATATGGTTAATATTTTTTAATATGAATTCTCATGTTATCTACCGATAATCAAACATAGTTTTTTAATTTGAGTTGAACAGTTTCTTCAGTGAGATATAACTAATACCATAATTAACATAAGATAAACTATGTTTTTTCTAAACTCGATTTAGTTTAAAATTTTTAAAAATTTGGTCTGTTCGGCTAGGAATAAATGTCAACCGATCCCATCTCTGGAGCAAAGTGTTTTTGACTATCGTCATGGTAATGTTACTTTTTTTTTATTTAGTTAATCATGACGCAAGAGTTTCTTTTCTTTATCTTCGTTTCTCATCGATCAGTCTTAGAAATTTGCAAACTTCACTATTTTTTTCTTCATAAAAGACATGAAAAATAGTCAAATTTTCATTTATTATAAGACGTAGAAAATAAGAAAAATCTATCTCTAAAGTGAATTAGATTGTCAATGGTATGGTTTAAAATAGTTTGTTCATCAAGTAAGGCTAGAAGTTACAACGATCATAGGATAAAATTAGAGATATTTTATAAAACAAAACTACAGAATATTACATGAAATAGGTTCTTCTTTTGATTTTGACTGATTGACAAGTTTTTTCAAACCACTCAAAAGTCGACTATATTCATTGAGATGAAAAACATCTTTTCCAATCTTATTTTTCAATCGATTATATTCTTCATCAATACGTAATGCTGAATCAACAATTAATTATCCATACATAATAAGTTGAGATCCATCGATAAAATTCAATACATTTAATAAATCATCAGATAAATGATTTTGCTGAAACCAATATTTTATCTCTATGCGTGTCCATTGCTCAGGTAATTTAGATGATGTTGTTTCAGTATCATTTAATGAACGAACAGATGCAAATAATGATATTAAATTAGAAAATTGTTCTTGACTTACACCATGATTACGCATTCGATGTTCGTATTCATCATATTGTGTATCGTCATGTGATAATAAATTCATATATGTTAGTAAAGCTCGACCAGATGATAGTTGAAGAGTAGATAGTGGTAAATGAAGCCATTGTTGTACTTCTTCACAAGTCCATTCTTCAATTGAAGAAATAGGTATAATGTCTGATACAGTAGAATTTGATTGCAATTGTATATCAGAAATTTCTATGCTTTAATGAGAATTTACAGGTAATGATGTTTCATTAGTTTGAATATTGATAGTCGTGTTTGAATCAACATCTGATTTACTTTTCAAATGTGATCGATGTGAAGGATCAAGTTTGTTCTCGTTTCGTTTTACTTGATTCCGTACAGTAATTAATTTTAACAGATTTTCCATAACTTCTTCATCAGTTTTCTTAGCTCCAAAATGTACCCATGTTGCTGAACCAGCACGAATTTCAAACCAATCTTCTGCTTTATAATCTTGTCCTATATAAATAGGTACCATACGTTTGTTACATTTTCAGTTATAGCTTTAGCAATTTCTTCCCAATCATCATCATATGGTGGCGATAATTTATTAAAATCTACCCAAATATCACATTGAAAACGTTCTTGAATTTTTTTAACAAGATTTTTACAAAATTCCATGTCTTGATGTGAATAAGAAATCATAACTTTTATTTGATTATCATCACTATTATGATTATGATTATCTTCAATTGATCGTATATCTATTTGTAAACAATCAAGATTAAAAAGAATTCCTTTAGCTGCTCGTTTCATATCTAAAGCATATTCATCATTTGATTTTAATTTAATACTATATTCAGATAGAAAACTAATTGACCAAAATATTGTATAAAGTGATGAGCAAATAGTTGTATTAAGTATTGTTAATTCACATATGTTATTAAATAAAAGAAATTTTTCAATCAATAATTCATAGATATTTTCACGTGAAATAATATAAATAAGAAATGTATCATTAACAATTAATTTAGCCAGTCCGTCTAAATATTCACAAACATTATATGAACCAAAGCAAAGATCATTAGAATCAAATGCTTTCATTGTTTGTTCAAGAATATAATCGAGAATTGTTTGAATATTAGATATACTTTCTTTTTTTAAGTCTTTCGGTTTCAATAATGCTGCATAAAGAAGATAATAAGCTATAAGAATCTCTTTATTGGTTTCATTATAATCAACAAGTAACGTTTCGGACATATATCGTTCTTTCCATTGTTGGAGAATATCAATCATTTTTAACTCATTCAATTCTTTCACCCCAATGGGATGCCGAGCTAGATTATATAATATACTAATAATCGAAGACCATGATTCAAGAGAAATATTTTTTGTATGATCTTGTTCACTTAACATCCATTGTATAATAGCATTTGGATAACCAATTTTAATAAAATAAGGAACAAATCCATAGATATCTGCCATATTATGAATCCAATTTAAAATCGATAGATATGCATGAGATTGTTGATGATTATTTAAAAAATAATTATTTAAATACGTTAGAAACGCTTGTAAAAGTCGCTCTGTTGAATTATTCAATTGAAAAAATGTTGGAATATTTTTATGTGAAACATATATTGAATAAGCAATACGTCTTTTTGTATAAAGCGATCGTGCACCAAGTGAAGTAAAAAAATTAAGAAAATGTTCATTTATATTTGATAGAATGTTTTTCTTATCCATAATGTAATTAATTGTTGAATCATCAATTAAATAAGTAAGTGATAAATCAAAATAATAATCGCATGACTCTGGATATATTGCCATATTTATATACATTTGAAAACGAATTACATCGAATAGAGTTGTTAGAAGAGTAGATGGAATTATTGAAGAATATCGTTTGATAAAATGATAAAAGGAATTTATTTCAAAATAAATAAGAATAGACATAAGTTTTTGATATTCATCAATCGTCCTTGAATTCCATTCATCATCGATTTTTTGCAATTGATCACGAAGATTAATTAATGGATGAGACTGTATTTCATTCAGTGTATCATCATGAAATAGAAGTGTTTCTAGTTGATGAATAGTATTGACTATTGTATCGTTGTTAGTAGTCATGCTGCTCGTGCGCAAAAACCAATAATCAAGTGTATTCTTTTTTTCCTTTCTACAAATATGAAAGGTATATTTGGTCTCAATGAAACAATATAGAAATAATTAAACGATTTATGTCTTCTAAAGCTATCATTTCTCTTTTGGTATTGAAGTGAATACTATAGAATATGACACTCATTATTTATGTTAAATATTAAAAAAAATGATGAATAATACAAAGGCAGCGAAACAAGAGTGTCTATTACTATGTAAATAACGGAGAGAATGCTAATATTTCGCTTTATTATTTGCAAATATTAATTTTCAATTTTTTTAATTTACAGTTATGGTCATTATTAGTTGAATATGGGTCTAAATTTGAAAAGGAATCGATAACAATGGCCACTGATAGCAGATAATTGTGTGGATTTCTGATAATCGCTGAAGAATTTCTAGTTTCAATAGCACTTTGATAATACAAAGACTGTTGTTACGTAATGCAAGAAGTTGTGAGGAACTATATCGATCACATTTCTTGTATATGAATAGTTTGTTACAAGACAAATACTCATTTATGCTTTGAAATCTCACAAAATATCAAGATCATCTTAAAAGCCAAGCTGAATCTTTGAAATATCGTTAACTTGGACGTTCACAACGCAGATAGAAAATGAATTGAACTCATTTGTCAAAAGATCAAGTGTAATAAAATTGGCTGGATCCATTGAAATATCTATTGAATCAAGGTGAACCTTACTTAAAACAACTGTTCTTCTTATTAATGTGATTTTAAGTGAAATGAGCGAAATCAGTAAGCACCGAACCTGGATTCGAACTAAAAAATCCCGGTTCGATTCGGTTTCTATTTTTAACGAAAATACAATATAACATTAACACTTAGATATTCATAAATGATTGCAAACATGATAGATATTACATATTTGATGTACATGTATTATAAATACGTATTCATTGATGAATGTAAGATTAGAGAAAGATATAAACACGTAACATATAAATTATTACAATTATTTAAAAAAAAGAAAATCGATAGTAACAAAACATATTCTTGACTAAAAATTAAATATCCTCGCCGATAATAAGTTATTCGTGGTTTTTTTTCAATTCAATATATTTACTAGAATCTGTCCTTTTTTCTTTTTTTTCTGCATTTGTATTTCTTATAGTTATACGTCACTCACCTATGTTTTCTCGATTCAACTATTCGAATAAACCAGAAACTATTCTTTTTCTTTGATGAAAATTTTCGGTTTAAACTGGAAATTTCATGAATGATTATATTCAATGTGTTTCTCTTTGATGTAAAAAATTCACACATTATTTTAGTTTAACGAAAGTAGAACAAAGTCGGAACAACTTTTGACAATATAGTCATGTATTAATTATTTGTATATAAAAATAAAAATATGCTCAACAATCTCTAGCATAGCACTTCTTGAGCTATCAAAGAGTTTCTTTTTAGCTTTCTATTGGTTGATTATTGAAAACTATGTGAAAATTTTATAATGAAACTCAGCTTTTAGAGTAGAATTTTGCTGGTTTTTGAGACAAACAATCATTACAAGACATTGCTTTCTATAAACGTCGCACTTTGTGCCATATATGATTGCCTTGCATTAAAGATAAAATTATCTATGAATGTGTATTTTAGTAAAATACATCAATTATTATTTATACGCGATATTAATTGAAGTTACGTTAGGAAATTTATTTCCTTCATCAGTTGAACAATTGAAAAGAGAAAAAATACAAGTACATCAACAACACCGTATTAATACGTTCAAAATTCGGAGTATATGTTAAAACTGTATTTTTTTTGTTGTTTTTCTTGAGCAGATTTTACTGCATTAAGCATCAATTCATTAATATCTGTTTTTTCAACGAGACATAAAGTGTGTCCTCTGATATGCTTCCTGAATTACAATTTATCATTCAATATTTTGTAATTGAAAAATACATCTTTAATGTTAGCTATTATAAATAATTATATAATTAAACACTGACATGACTCGTAATAGAGATGAAAATAAATTATTCTGAGGCGTATTAATAGTGTGATAAAGTTACTTGATTTGAACAGATACAGAACGCCTATGATACTATGAGTCTGCATTTTGAAGATAATGAAGATATTGGATTTATTCTTTTAACCGTGGAATAAATATCATAATATAGAAAATTGTTTTGTACGATTAATTGAAAAAGATCAAGGTTAATCGAATGTCTATTTGATAACTGGCTTTATTATTCAACCAACTGTAGATTAATTTTTGATGAATAGAAATATATTTTTTTTTGTATTTTTGTCAGAAAAGATCGTGTAAGGTATTTTTATCTTATCGAGCTTTCGTTTAATTGTAATATTTTTGAGGAATAGAAGATACAAGTTTTTGTGTTGGTTAGAAACAACCGAATTGTTCGAGCACCCTTCTCATGATGTATAGAATTATGGAGCAATGAAAATTGACAATAGTCTATCATTCAAAGTAGATGAAAATTGGTGTACAACATCGGAAAAAATTTTCTTGAATATAAATACCAGCGTGAAATGAATCCAAAATGTTGTGTAAAAACTTAAACAGATGAATTAATTGTATTGTTAGACCTAGTTTATCTGTATGAATCACAGCGACTCAAAACAGTATTCAGATAACCAAAAGTTTTTTTTTTTTTATTTCTCAATCTGTGTAATAAGAGCAACAGATAGATTTTTTTCTTATTACCGACAGATTGCGCAATTTGTTTCTGTTTTTTTATAAGAACCAATCATCTAACTATGATCTCTGATACTGAGAAGTTTAATCGTAAAATTCATCTGTCCTTCAAGCCATCAAGAATGAGACGTTGCTTCTTTTTGCACATCAGTGTGCGTTCTTTGGACGTCAAATAAACGCACGCTAATACGAAAAAGTTCAAGAACTATTGTTCTGCATAAAGTGCAGAATACAATTCACATACACTAGGCCATTTTCTATTACTTTTGCGACTGGTTTTCTAAACCATGTTATCAGTTTTCATCGCGCTTTTTAACTGAAACTTTGAAATCGAAGACTTTGAAATATCACTGACCGACATAGATCAAATAAAAGCAAGTTTTATCAGAAATTAAGCATAATTTTTGATGAACCTATACAAGCTCTTTGAAATTGAAAAGAACAAAATCATTATCTCATCTAGAATTGCTGTGTATCTCATGTGACGTAATTGTATGAGCAAATCACTGAATACAAGCTTATTCAAATTCAGATAGTTAGTCAGTCTGATGTCAAAACCTTAAGAAAAACTCGTTATCATCATTCAGTGATGATCAAAAAAAATTTATTTAGAAGAAAAAAATATAAACTTTAAAAAAGTTTGAATTTTAAAAATAGAAAAGTACGAATGTATCAAATACTATTCTCAACATAAAGAAATATTCAAGATATTTGTTATTCGATTTCTTCCTATTTTAATCTAGACTAGGTGTGTCTTATCAACTTGCTGGAAATCAATTTAAAGCCAGATATAGGGGCTATCGGAGATACTGGAGACGTTAGAGGTGTCGAAGGAATCAATGTTATGCCTTGATTTCAATTAGAAAAACGTCCGATATGTGTTTTACCATCATTTTCCCAGTATTTCTATGTTTCTTTTATTTCTATATCCTTGATACCTGTTTCTAAAACAATTTCTAAGAAGTCCATAAAAAACATCACATGTTAATCTGCTGATTCTGATCAAGACTGATATTAGAATAAGATTGAAAGAGAGTGACGAAATATTCGCAAGATTATTAGATACCGTAAATTATCTTTTCGATTTTTGCTCTATTTGGATAACAATGATACTTTTATCGTTAAAAATTCTTCATGGATTCATGAATAGAGTAGTAATAGGCATTCAGATTATATCATCAATCAATAATTATTGAAAACAAAATAGATCGACGCAGTTATAGTCGAGTTAATTAAATTAAAACAAAAATTCTTACAATTTCACCGTTACAAAACCGAAAATATTGCAATGAAAGATCATAATGAAAATAATAGAAAAGCATTCGAAGGATTGAAACACAGTATTCCTGTATTTCATCTTCTATAGCTATCAACCAAATGAAAGAAGAAAAGAAATAGACTACGGTAAAGTAAGGATTTTCATATTGATTGGTTCCTATCTTCCAGATGACGTGAGTAATATTTCTTCGGCTGCCATGTTTGTGTTTGACTTACTTCATAAGACCAACCAGAAGAGAAAAACAAGCGCTGACTCAGAATACACTCATTGTTTTTTTTTTTTGTTATCTTCGATATTGTAAATGTGTAGTTTTTAAGAAGAAATCTCAAAAAAGGTTTTTCTGCCTTTCACAATATTATACAGACTGGAAAGACCGCATCGTTTTGTATGTTTTGCTCTTCATGTGTTCTAATTTTGGTTCGTTTTCCATATATATATATATATATACATGAGAAGTCTATTAAATAAAGAAAAACTACAAAACATATTTATGTTGTCGTTGTAGAAATACTCTTTCTTTTCTCAAACACAAAATTTAAGCAATATGTCAATAAAAAAGGAGTATTTTTCATTAACACCCAACATTAAGATATATTATGAACTCCATTGTTCATCACCATCATCATCAAATATGTCGACAAAAATAATAATGATTATGGGTGCATATGCAACATTAAGATTTTACGATGAGCATGTCGAATATCTTGTTGAACATTATCCATCACCAATAGAAATATTGACTTACGATCATCGTGGAATTGGCCATTCAAAACCAGCAACAACAGTCATCACAACAGAACGACAAACGTCAAGTCTTTTAGCTCATGATGCTTATCAGTTAATTAACCATGTATGGGGTGGTCAAACTCCAGTTCATGTCTTAGGCGCGAGTTTAGGTGGAATGGTAGCACAAGAATTAGCTGTGTTATTAATACCGGAACAACGTCTTTTATCGCTTTATTTGGCAATTACAATTCGTGGTAAGTAGATGTTTAATAGTTTTTCATTCA